GTCCTGATTCGACAACGTGCTCCGATAGTCCACAAGATTTTTTGTTAAGCCTACAGTCACTTTTATGTGACGTAATGCGCCCTTTTAGGGTTCTAGAAGTCTGACCTATGTAAGATTTATTACAATTATAACATGGAATTTTATAAACAACATTGGATTTTTCAAGAGTTTTAACAGAAGATTTAATTTTGGAAAATAATTCTGAACCAGTTTTGATATTTCTATTTGCAAACCGAATATTTAAATTTTTAAAAACATTAATTAATTTTGGAGTTAATGATTGTATAAAAGGTAGAGATTTATAAACAATTAGATCATTATTATTACTAATACCAGTAATGTCACTATTGTTATTATTATTTTCGAAATTTGTAACGGAAATAGAATGATTATTAAATTCAGATGAACTGAAAATTATTTTATTAAGGACTTTTTTTGGGTAAGAATTGTTAAGCAAAACACCCCTCAACTCTTTCAACGAGTCTTCTCTAAAAAGTGGATGTGTTAGAAGGTGTACTCTATGTTTTAGTGCCAATACCGGGTTTATTTTCATTTTATAGTTCTGATATGAGTGGAAATTCAAGTATCTACCACTACTCATCTGTACCATTTGGTACGCAGTACGTTTTGTTGATCACGAAGAACAGTCATGTCTAGGAAGGGGATACAGTTGTTCACCTCCTTCTCTGACATAAATTGGATATTAGCATCATAACTATTAAAAATATTGAGTACATTATCCACTTTATCCTGCGGGACTGCTAACAGTAAATCATCTACATATCTTTTCACGAAAGGGATATTGAAAGGTATCTTTGCCAAACAAAACCTAACCAAATCATCAAGTACAAAATTCACTAGAATAGGAGAAATTTTGGAGCCCATTGGCGTACCAAATACCTGTTTATAGTAACTATTATTGAATAAAAAGTAATTAGAATCGAAAATAAAGTCACGAATAGACAAAAAACTGTTTAAATTTAATTTGCATTGTTGAGAAATAATGTTCCAATTGTTTGTTAAACACTGACAAACTATTTTTTTTTTCAGTCGTGACTACCCTTTTGCTATATATATATATATATCACAAAATGTAGATTTATGTTCAAATAGTCTTTAGATCTAAAAATAGTTCGTCATTCTCTAATTTTCAAGATTTCATATGATATACAACTATCATTACGTTTTGTTTTTTTCTAATAAGTTCGCTTTAGGCACTATCTCTTCACTTAATAGTAGTAGTAAATGGGGCAGCCTCAGTCTGGCAATTAGGCCACAAGTGGGCCCTTTTTACCTACCCGCCGTCCCATCCACTGTCTGCCTCTGACGATCCTCGAAACTTCTTGACGCTTTGTTATACGCAAGGATTTTAGTCTATAGCAAGTCATATCCCCTTGCAGAAGGCTGCAGTGTCCCAGAAGGTGAACAGGGGTGTTCTCCCCTTTTCCACATTTCGGGCATAAGGGTACTCCTCAATTCCTATTAAACTTAAATGCATCCTAAGTCCGCAATGGCCTGCCAGAACCCCTAATTTAGGGCTCTTCGACTAATTGTCCACATATAAAGCTATAGACCTGCCTACATCATCTGTTCATCCTCCAATTTTAATCTAATGTTTGAGGGCTCCGTTAGTGCTACCTCGTGTGATTCCGAGGATTGTTTCAGGTCCTGGCCAGGCCCCCTCGATACAAGACGAGCCAGTTGGTCTGCTCTCTCGTTGCCAGAGATATCCATGTGGCCCGGAACCCAAACCAACTCTACCTCTCTTCGTCTGACCAGTGACTCCAGGCCGTCTCCACATTCCTAAACAAGAGCAAACCTTGTCCTCGTGGAGCTAACTGCTCTCAGCGCGGCCTGACTATCCTCTCTTCTACACAATTTCTTACCACCGTCTTACTTGCCACCATCAAAACAGCGAAAACCTCAGCCTGAAAGACTGTGGTATACATATCCAGTGAAAAACATTCCTGAATACCACCGCCTTCCAGATATATTCCTGTTCCTGAGTACTCGTTTTCTACCCGAGACCCATCAGTATAGGGATCCCGGGGGAATATATCACATACTTCCTTCCTAACCTCAGCCGGCTCTCTGTTTCCGTGACCTTCATGTCAGATATTGGGATATCCCTCTCCGCCCTGAGGACTATGGCAGCGTGTCCTTTTGCTTTCCAACCACATGTGTCTCTTATGCTTAGGTATGTTGCCATCGCCTCCCTCACAATACATGTAGGATGGGTCGGAAGCCCAAGAAGGACCTCTAACGCGGTCGTTGGGATCGTCCTAATTGTACCCGTATTACAACTCGCACAAATACAACGAAGAAATATTGAAGTCGGCGGCTGTCACGTTAATTTCTATGATTAGATTTGGATACCTCTGATGGTACATTCTTCTTGCTGCGCACAAGTATGGACATTCAAAAAATACTTGCAGCATGTCAGCATATGCACCATTAGTAAAATTATTTGCCATAATTCTTCTCATGTTATCGTAAAAAAAAATAAAATTATTGAGTATTAGCATGACAATCGCCTACCTAAATATTTCTAATATGAATAATAACTAATTTAATTTTTTTGTTAATAAACGGTTAGTTTTAAAACTAAAAGGTAAGACGGTATTAAAATAAATCAGCCTATCTGATACGCTCTTTTGAATATACAATTTTCGTCAAACAAAAAAGTTGTAGCACAAAATAACTTAGGGGATGCTCTCTCCAAGAAATTTTCGAAAAATCATTGAGAAGTAATAGAAAACTTGTTTACAATTTGACTATTATGAGTTTTTTGGTTTTCAAATTACAGTCGCTATTCCATATTGTTTTGGAAACTTTGAGAGGCTGCATCTTCTAAAGGCTGAACATTTTATTGAGATCATTTTTATACAATAAAACGTGTTCTTTTTAGTTGTAGATTCACCGGCATTATTTATGCTAATTGTTTTGAAAACACCCTGTACCTATATCATTAATTAAGATAATTATATCAGCTTTGTTCCTAACTGGTGACATTAGAAATCTTCACTATATACTTAACTAGAAAGACCTCCTGACCTTGAACTAGTTGGAGCTAATTTGTAAAATCTATTAAAATGATTAATTAATATGGAAGGTTATTACAACCTATTATCACGCAGTCATTTTTATCATGAATGTTGGTGACAACTTTTTTTGGCAAGTCGATTTTGAACTTAAATAAATAAAAAATACTTCTGTGAAAATAGTATTAGAGAAATTCACTGCAAAATGACATCCTGTCACTGCTAAGACTAGCTACTGTAGTGGAGCTTGAGGCGAAAATGAAGGAGCAAATAAGACAAAAACGTGAAGTAAATGGAGGGCGTTAAAATTTGCAAAGTAAGAAATGCGACATGCAAAGTAGGGAAAAAGAATAAATCGCTGATAAGGTAGTACATCATGTAGGGTGTCCCAATATTTCATGTCATGATTTAACTAATCTTGCCTCTATCTGCAGTTGTGCTGTTTAATCCCCAAAATGCTTCAAAATCGGCGATAATTTTTAGTAAGTGTCATTATTTAGAAATACTTGTAATGAAATAATTTTCAGTCATGGGTTTGAAACACCCTGAGCTCTTAAAATTTGTTTAAATAAATGTATAATAGCGCACCTCAATAATTAATTGCAATTTTAACACCCTCAAAATTAATGGACGCTGCATGAACGCAAAATCGCCATAATGTACCTACTAGCCTTTTCAATGATTTGGAAGCTAAGAAGCCGCCAGCCGTCGGAAGCAGTTGTGGTAAACAGCCAGTAGCAAACACGAGGGAAATTTTGCAAAGTCCAGTAAAAAACTATTTAACAGAAGAGACAAGTGATGATCACTTGTCATGGTAAGCAGCATAGCCCGCAGATTCTGCTACATACTTATCGTCCGCAAGGTAACATTACTCATTTGATATGTTTGATCTACTAAAGTTTATACAAAATAGTGATGTAGTTGATATCGTACCTGACATTCGTGATCAGCACATATATTCCCAATGGCTAGTAAACCAGAATTTCCTGTAGCTCCACAAAATCTACATATTCCACTTATTCCTACTCCATTCTTTTTAGTTCCTCCTTCACGAAATTCTATTAAAGCTTTCAATGTTCTTGAATCAACAAGGGCTAAAAGCCAGAATAATTTTGTTCTTCCGCAGCCTTCATGCAATTCTACTTTAATAGCCTCCTCTTCTTCTTTACAAACCTAAAGGAAATTTTAAAATTAATTACGAGCATTCAAAGTAACTTTTCGATAAACGGATAGTAAAGAGAAGAATATGTGTATACTGGGTGTTCGGAAATAGTGGTACTTCACTTTGAGGGTAGATTTGTCGACTCAAAATAAGACAAATATTTCATATAAACATGGGTCCGCAAATCCACCCTGCGGGAGCTAGGCGCGTTTGAACATGACGTTAAATAAATGGTTTTTTGCCAATAACTACTTTTAACTGGTTTGAAGGAGAGGGATACGTTTTGGACGATCTTCAAACGCGTCTACCTCCCGTAGGGTGAATTTGCGGACCCATGTTTATATGAAATTTTTGTCTTATTTTGAGTCGACTAATCTACCCTCAAAGTACCACTATTTGCGGACACCCTGTATATTCAATAATAGTACAGACTAAGTTGGATATTATTTTCACTTCAGAATGTTTCTCAGGAATTGAGGTTTAAGTTCCATTTCTTTGAATTTAAAGTGTATCGACCGATATAAATACCAAATTCCATTGAAGGCGATTCCTTGTAGATAAGGTGGTTATACAGGGTGTATCGCATAAGAACCGATACAGAGTAGGAGCATGTAGGGCAATCCAAAATATGGTGATTTAACGTAACTTACCTTTATACTAAGCTGCACCCCTGAGAAGTTATAGGCCTTGAAAGTGGGGTTTCAAATTTCAAAAAAATTTCTGTCAGTTATACCGAACTTGGAAAAACCAAATTTGGTACACGGTGTGAGTGTACCAAGAGCATTAATCGACAGTAAGAAAAGTTCAATTGAAGCATTTTAAAGAGTTAATAAGGATGAACTGAACTTAGAAAAACCAAATTTAGTACACGGTGTGAGTGTACCAAGAGCATTAATCGACAGTAAGAAGAGTTCAATTGAAGCATTTTAAAGAGTTGATAAGGATGATGCACGATTAAAATGTGACAGAATTTTTTAACCTGTGGACGGACTTAAAAAATTATTGAGTACCTACTTTACTTTATGGGGAATCTAATTGTAAAACTTTTCTTACTCTTAATTTTGAACAAAAATACGAGTAACTAATAATACTTATTGTAGCTGCGTTATTTAAAATTATCGAAAAATCAAAAGTTGTCTATGAATATAAAACTTGACGATCAGGAAAAAAGTTGGAATAAGAATAATTTAATAGAAAAACAAACAACTTAAACAACAGAAATAACATACAATTTGCACTGATAAGTTATAGAAATTGTTCAAATTTGTTTTCTCTCAGGCATAAATTTATTCCTCGTCGAAAATTGAAGTCTACTCTATCCAATAACTGATGATTGTTTCTAACTTAGCCCTTGAAGGTTAGTTAGTTTCATGTTCATTAATATCGATTTAAATATTATTCTTATTTTTTCCTTGTTTTTTTTAAGTCAATTGATCAGTATGTAAATTGTATTTAAAATAACGGACTGTACCTGCCTCTGATGATTCCTGGCTTTTCTATGTAAGTGGAGATATCTATCACACTCTGCACACAAATTACCACAGAAGTTGCATTGAATTATTGCAATTGTGTCGTCATCGTCGTGATTGTCGCATGTTGGTCTTGGTGGCATAGGTTGACCATCCGATTGTATCCATTGACCTAAAAGATTTAAGATTTTAATTTATCAAACAGCAAACATCTATATAGACATCTCATTCAGGTTCATACCTTGTCCAAACATCCATGAACTTAATATTGACATCTATAGGACATAATAGGATATAATCCGTAGCACCTGAAATTTGGACATTCACTGGATGTCCATATACAAACACCCTGTATAACGTGTTAATATTTAAGGAGGTTATTCTTGGGTTGACTTTAAGAAAAAAACTTCATATGAACATATGTCGTAAAAATCTTAACTTTTGAACTACAGGGTGCTAAAGTTTTATGAAAAAACATTTTTTTTTATAACTGGTATTACCCTAGATATTTTTTCAAATTCGGTACACGCCTCCTATTCAGGGTAATTTTCTTTTACCATTCCAAAATGTATGTAGATTACTGTAATTTCATAATTTCAACGTTTAAAAGTTATTATCTTAAATAAATTATTGTTCAAAGTTACATAAATCTTTCTTTTTTCTCATAAGATGCAAATGAATGAATTTTATTTTTTTATGCGAAAACTGTACGTCTAACGTAAAAAAAAAATTGAGACACCACATTTGCTCAGAAAGGAATGAGGATTTCAAGTATGATTTTTAATTTAAAAAAAAGCAGTGGCATAACAAATTTTTTCTTCAAAATATTCAATACAAAATCTGTACAGACACCACTGGCAAAAATAATAAAATTGTTTGTACATTAGAAAACGCATCTCGAAGAATAGAAGGCGTGTACCATTTGAAAAAATATCTAGGGTAATACTAAAGTTATCATAAAAAAAAGTTCAAAAGTGAAGACCTTTAGGATATATGTTCATATGAAGTTTTTTTCTTAAAATGGACTCAAGAATAACCTCCTTAAATATTAGCACGTTATTAAGAAACACCCTGTATATTCTAACTTGACGTTATATGGACGCCCAGTGTATACCAGTGCTATTTGGATGTATATACTTAGTTCCATGGGGAACATTCCTAAGATGCACATAACTAAATCCGATTTGTACAAAATTGGATATTCAGTGAACTTGAGTATAATCACTTTAAAATACCTCCTTATTCAGCATTGAAATGCGCTAGTCATAGTTGAAAAACTTATGGTAATAATAATTGTGTTGTACGACCTAAAAACGTATCTTAATACTTGATAAGAATTTGCAGGATCATTTGAAAAATTATGTCCACGATACGTTCAAGAAGTGTATGCTTTTTCAAAAGGAAATCAATTTACATTATTCATTATTTTTTATGTTGGTGCGGAGATATACCCACAAAACTAAAAATCTGAAAATAACCAGTAGCTAAAGACAAATATGAATTAAAGAAAGTACTACTATTGAAAATTTATAAAGAATGTTGCCAAAATTGCCTAAATCGACTCACTAAGAATAACCATGAATTATTTATCTGTACAAAACAATGTCAAGTTTTTCTTCGATTCTCAAATACTATAGACCCTGAGAGATTGTAGACATTGTTGAAGATGGTCATGAGAAAGTGGTTTCCTATTTTAGTAAAGTTCTTTCTAAGCAAGAGGTGAACTACTGCGTGACTAGGAGAGTTACCTGCCATAGTTAAAACTGTAGAGCATTTTCACAAGTATGTCTGTGACCAGCCGTTCGTCGTGATAATTCATTTAAGCGATTGCTCATAGAGTGGAAATTCACGAAACCGCTGGTAAAACATCACCCAGTGTAAATTTTGGTACGTAGTTACGTCTGCTTTATAGATTTTGTTACGAGTTGACTAAATCAACAGGAAAATTTAGGTACATGACTATCTTCTCCATCTGAAAGACTGGATAAAGTTGGTATATAAACTGGTACGAGAAAAGTTAGCAGATAGGAATAGACAAAATAATGACCCTACTATAAGCAAGGATTCCAAGAGAACAACAAGGTGTGGTTATATAATCCGAAGAGGACTAAGAACAGATCATTGAAATTATAAGATTGTGACAAAGTTATATAATATAGTGTATAGAATTCGGAAAAATTCCCAGTTCAAGATTGTTCACATAGGAAGGTTGACATCTGATCAAGACAATCATGGTGACAGTAAAGTAAACATGATCAGGACAATCGGTTCTAAGTGGGGGCAATATTACGAAAGTTCACCTACCTTATTCGTATCTCAATTCAGTTCTTAAATGTTAATATAGGTACTCATTTCTGTAATATTTACATTTTGACATTTTCTAAAACTTTCTAGGTTATACTTGATTTGGTTGAAGACACAATTCTAAAGGTGAGAAATTTATAGAATATGAAAAATTTCTAGAATATGAAAAATTAAATGTAATTATATAATTTACGGTTCCGAGAATTTAGTAAAAGGAAACAGGGAAGATAGAAACATCAGTGTGAAGAAAAATAGATGCCGACATTTAAAACTGAGATCTATTATTTTGAAAAGGTGGACCAATTGCCAATTGTTTTCGTCGTTATCGCATTTGAAATTTTGAAGGTTAATTTCCCAACGTTAAAATAATCAACGTCAAGTATCAAGTTATCAAGGTTTCTCTAAATTCAATAGAAAATTACACAGATTTTCTTTTAATTTTTTAGATTTGTACTTAACACAATCGAAGGTAACTACAAACATAACATATTTTAAATTTCACATAATTTTTTGGTGTAGATTAAAGGGCCAATTAAGACACATAGGAATGAAAATAATTAACATAATGAAAAAGAAATGGCAGATCCATAATTATAATTAAAGAGATGTATCACATTCGAGGAACGTGTTCTACTCTCACCATTTCAGATGTTTACTTTTTCATCAACGGTAAAAATGCTTTTTATACGATCTTCTACCATGTAATGACGACTGCCTGTTACTACCGGATACTAAATCATTTAGGTCAAATATGCATCCCACTTTACTCAAGTCATTTTTGTGTTAAATTTGGTAACCTCAACAAGTTTAGTTAGGGCGATACAAATTTGAAACTCTTCTCCAGGTATATGAAAATAAATTTTTCTAGATTGTTCTTATTATATATACCTATACTCGTATACTAACTGTGATCTACATTTTCTAAAACTTAAAAGCTTCTTAAATACATGAAAATTAAATTGTGCGATATAACTGTAAATTCAGCAAAATAACAAAAACAAACGTATTTTTTTCATATTGGTATTAAAATTATATTTGTTCTACAAAAATACATATATTGAAGATTCTATCTTATATATACTTCAAAGTTGGCTATAAGGATTTTGGCCGAAAATGGCGGGTAATTGTGATACCTTATTAGATTAATAAATTTAGAATTAGAACTACCAATTAATAATATTTAACTTTTGCTTAAAAACTGCAACGTTTTCTGAGCTATGGAAAGAGGGGGTATATTGAACAACTTTGCCAAGGTATTTGAAAAGTCATTGTATAATGAAATAATGAAATAAAATTTTGTGGGGATTTTAACTTTGATGCTTTTAGTAATGTTGATTTTAGAAAATTGTGTACAATTCTCTCATGTTTTAATTTGAAGGATGTGGTGGAGTGGCCTACTCGAGTGACAGACACCACTTCTACCTTAATTGATAACATTTTCGTTAACTTTCATGACGAAGGAACATGTTGTGTTTTTGACAACACTTTCTCTGATCACAGAACGATACTTTTTGAATTAGATTGCTATGTTCCAACTTCTTGTAATAAAACCTATATGAGACGAAATTACAATGAAAACAATTTGGCACAGTTTGAAAATTCTTTGTATGAAGAAGATTGGTCCTATATGTACCAGCTTTCTGAAACAAATGAGGCTTTTGATTACTTCAATAGGATATTTTTACATTATTTTAACAGTTTCTTTCCAGTACGCAGGCATCACTTTAAGGTAAATAACTCCGGTAAACAATGGGTAAATGATGAAGTCAAAAGATCTAGCTCTCGTCTTAAAACTCTTTTTCATTTAAAAACAAATTATGCCGATTTAGTTCCTGTCTATAAAATAGCTAAAAATAAGCATATATCTACAATTAGAGAAACAAAAAGAAAATATTACCAAAATAAAATTAATAATTCGGATAATCCAGTAAAGGCAGCTTGGAATATAGTAAATGAAATTTCTAACAAAAAGAAAGATAGGAGTAATATATCAATAAAATATAATGGAGTAACAATTGAAGATCCTGTTGAGGTTGCTTCAACTTTTAATAGTTTTTTTATTAATACACCAAAAAATATTGTTGAGAATATATCTGCTGATAACGTTGATAATAGAGTGTGTGTTACTAAAATAGTAAATCAAACTTTGTTTTTAAACCCTTTCTCTGAAAGTGAATTATTAAATTTATTAAGAAATAAATTAAAAAATAAGAAATCCGCAGGATCAGACGACGTTCCCATGTTTTTAATAAAACGTGTTTTAAAAGTGATAATGCAGCCTATAACGTATCTAGTAAATCTATCCTTTCAAACCGGTATCTTTCCCGACACTTTAAAGGTGGGAAAAGTACTCCCTATTTTTAAAAAAAGTGATCGTTTATCATTAGAAAACTATAGACCAGTTACTCTTCCTCTCAGCTTTTCAAAAATTTTTGAATATGCTTATTTAGAACGTTTGACAAATTTTTTAAACAAAACAAGAATTTTAACTAAGAACCAACACGGATTTCGTTCAGGGCGGTCCACTATAACAGCTACACACTCTTTTTACGAAGAAGTCATTAGATGTATTGATGCAGGCGAGTGCCCTGTCGGGATTTTCTGTGATCTTAGTAGGGCATTCGACTGCGTTAATCACGATAATTTACTTACCAAACTTTATGATTATGGCATAAGAGGTGTTCCGTTGAACTGGTTACTGTGTTTTTTAAAATTTCGGAAACAATATGTCTCTATACAACACATTAATTCCGATACTTTGAATGAGATCAATTCTGATTATAGCTTAATTGAAATGGGAGTACCGCAGGGCTCTATTCTGGGACCTGTGCTTTTTGTTTTATATGTCAATTCAATAGAAAATGTAATAGGTAACGTAGCTTTTACCATGTATGCCGACGATTTATCTCTGATTATTTCAAGTAACTCGGATAAAAATCTTAACATCGGTATTAATAAAACGATTGAAAATATATGTGCATGGTTTAATCAGAACTATTTATATTTAAATGTAAATAAAACGCAAATGATAAGGTTTCATAATAGACAGAGAAAATGTGACGACCTAACAATAAAAATTAATAACTGTGTCATTAAGAATGACACTTTAGGCAGTGTTAAATTTCTGGGAATTTATTTCGACGAAACCCTTAATTGGAAAGTGCATTGCAACCATCTCGTTTCCACTTTAAGTTCAATAAATTTTTTATTTAAAAACATGAAAACAATTTTATTAAAAAATCAGTTAATTAATTTATATTATGCTCAAGTAGAATCGCGTCTTCGTTATGGTGTCTGTTTCTGGGGTGATTCCACCCTCTCACATTCTGTTTTTATTTCACAGAAGCGTATTTTGCGCAATATTGCTGGTGTACCTAGTGAACATACCTGTAGAGATATTTTTAAACAATACAAAATTTTAACTTTAAGTTCGTTATTTATATTTGATATGTGTATTTATGTTTTTAAAGCGGGGGGGGGGGGTAGGCGGTGTAATTGAGGGAAAATTTCCCAAATATTGTTTGGTGCTTCTACGGTATATATTAGTGTATTAAGTTTATGATTTTTTTGTGTATAAATGTATTGTCGATTTAGCATTACCTTTTTTTGGGTATTTGGTTAATAGATATTTTTATTATTTTGTATATTGGTATATTGAAATATTTGGTTCTAGATATTTATGCGACTAAGAGGTCTGGGCACCCAGTCGCTGGGTGCCCAATGTAGGACACTGGGTGCCCGGGCACCCAGGGCACCCCCGGTTGCTGCGCCTCTGTACATGGTGTAAACACAAGGCATAAGAATAATATTCGGGTACCTTTTTCTAAATTGTCAATTACCAATAAGTCACTAAATTATTTGGGGCCTAAAATTTTTAACAAATTACCTTTTGAATTAAGACAAGATAAAGTATCTTTATCAATTTAAAGTAATGTTAAAATTATATTTAGTGACCAAATGTTTTTATTCCTTGGGTGAGTTTTTTGCTTCCTAGGTTAAGTTACATTTGTTTTTACTTTAAATATCTGCTATACGTATAAGTGACTATTGTTATACAATTTGTAATTGTCTCAAAACAAAATAAAACATCTAATCTAATCTAATCTAATCTAATCTAATCTAATCTAATCTAATCTAATCTAATCTAATCTAATCTAATCTAATCTAATCTAATAATCTAATATATCCTTCTGTATCTAACTGCATTTCACCATATCAGCATGGATTTATCTAAAGGAGATCTGCTACCACAAACCTTCTATTACCCAGTATTTATTTGAAGTTATTGATCAGTATGGGCAGGTAGATGTGGTTTATACGGACTTTTCATAGGCATTTTACCGCATTGATCATAAAATTTTGCTAATTAAACACATTTCGGTTTAGTTTTTCATTTCTTACTAGAGTAATAGAGTTCAATATTATGCTTACAACGGTTGCAGATCTAGTAAATTTTTGGCAGTGTCAGGAGTACCGCAGGGCTCTAATCTAGGCCCACTTATGTTTTTGCTCTTTATAAATGACTTGTGTTATATTGTTAATTGTAACTTTGATGTTTGCTGATGATTTTAAGATTTTTTCTAAAATTGACCCAGTATCTAACTGCATTCACATCCAGAATCAGTTGAATAGAATTGAACATTGGTGTCAGATTAATTAATAACAATCTTCATGTGAATGTATCAAAGTGTAAGGTTATGACCTATACGAGAAACAACAAGCATTTGGGTCTTTTTGTTACACGTTTAACTCAACAAGCATTTTATAGCGATATGAAATCATTAAAGACTTAGAAGTTACCTTCGATAAGAAGCTGACATATTCAGCTCACATTGAAAATATATAATCGTCAGCAATTAAAATACTTAGATTTATCATCAGGAACTATAATACCTTCAATAATGCTAAAGCCCTTAAAACACTTTATTTCTCGTATGTTAGATCTAGGCTGGAATATTGCAGTATAATATGTACATCTATTTACAATGTAGATAAGTTAAACTTGGAGAGAATACAATGGACATTTTTAAAATTTCTTCATTTTAAAACGTCTGATATTTATCCTGTCAGGGGCTAGGATTACCACCTGCTTAGAAATTAATTTAATATACATTCTCTTGAACATCGCAGAATCCAATAAAGTCTGAAATTCCTCTATTTGCTGACACAATGGAATTGATTCACCAGGTTTGTTGCAGAAATTATTGTATTAGTTCGTTGAATGATTTCCGGGCCTGTTGCCACGTCGTCGATTTACAACTCTTGACGTCTCGAGAGACATATGTCTCTCTCGAAACGTCGAGTTGTAAATCGACGACGTGGCAACCAGCCCGGAAACCATTCAACCATTAACGACAGCCACGGAAGCCTGCAAACAAAACTATTGTATTATTTTTTTTACACCCGCTATAGCTCTACAGCCCTCTACTTTTCACTTGCCACATTCTAATTCAGATTTATTAAATCACCTTTTTATACATAACTTTAATATAGCTTTCTGGTACGTGTGATATCAATTTCGGTGGGTTAAAGTGTTTTACATCTGTAATATACGGGGTGTAACGTAAAGGTTGGGAATAAATGAAACGGTGGGTTTTTTATTTTAAAAAATAAATATTTGTCATATAAAGTTATGCTCTACGGGTTTTCTTTTCCAAGCTACAAGGCGCTAAAAAATTTCAAAAAATTTAATTTTTTAATATCAAAAGTTTTTTTTCAATGCTTATTTGACCATGTTAGGTGGCTGAGTCAAAGAATACTTCATAATGTTTTTGTTATTTTTATTTTCCTATGTTAGCAGTGGTATTTACGAAAGTTTTATTTATGGAAAAATTACAAGAGCTACAAATAAAACGCAAGAGGGTAATTTTGTTTAAAATAAAATGTGGATCATAAAAAACATTAAAAACATGTTTTTGCCAGTGGCGTACAACAATTTTCTTCGAAAAACCTTACGGTACAATCCGTACGCACGCCACTAAGTAACTTACAAAGTCAATTTTTTTCCTGTTACTAGGGGATTATCAAATTCAGCTAAGGCTAAAATTTCGTTCTATTATCTTATAATGTTCGAAAGTTATTGGAGAAAAACTAATTTTTTTGAAACTTTTTAGCGCCCTGTAGCTCGGAAAAGAAAATCCGTAGAGCATAACTTCATATGAAAAAAAAATATTTTTTAAACCAAAAAATTCACCGTTTAATTTATTTCCAACCTTTACGTTATACCCAGTATTAATTGCTTCTGTTCCTTGCAATGTAAACCTGTTATATTCTTGTTATGTACATTTAATTAGGTCGTCTTGTATTGTAACATATAATCTATCTTATCTAAACTCTAGAGTAGTAAAATATTGTTCTTTAATTATAGTAATCTGTTGGGCAATGAAACTAAATAATATAAAAAAAGTAAAATAAAATGTTGATTTATTAGTTAAAATTACAGATGTTTGAGAATATTTAAATAAATAGATAGCGTATCTCTTATTTCCAGATGCTTATTTTGTATACAAACTAGTATTATTGTTTTATTAACGCTTAATACACAGAGTATCCCGGGACTTAAAGTAAAATGACACACGGTATGCAAATAAACGTGAATGAACTTAACCTAACTTGTTTAGTGAATTGAACAATGCTACGACAGTTATTAACAATAAATGATAGGCATTAACAATAATCGTCTACCTGTATAATACCATTAATTATTTTTGTAGGCTTTTGAAGTTTGGATACTAACGACCATAACAATTATAAATATTTTTTCTATAATTTCCGAAAAAAAAAACAAAATAAAATAACGAAATTTCGGTGTAATGGAATTTTCTAATATTTCTAGCAAACAGTTTTATTCCATCTCGATATATATTATTTCTTAATAGGTAAGTACCTGAACTTAATCTCTCGACATGATCTTTATCCAAAACACAAAGTGACGCTAATGCTAGCCATAAGGTTGTTGTCTGCACGCAATTGTTAGGTAATTTTTGTTCGTCGTTAAGGTAAGTAAGACCTAAAATATTTTCTGCTATAGCTCCTTTTGTTATATTTGCCCAAACTTCGGACATTTTCCCCTAAAAAATAATTTTAGGTAAATTATATCAATAATATAGTTTTTGTCCATTTTGTTATAAGAATTTATAATCTTATATTCAATAAATATGACGAAGAAAATAGATTGTGTCCTACTGTAAAAAGATAAAAATAATTATAGTAGGTACTTACTGAGGCCATGTCTTTAATTAACTTAATAATTATTTCAGCAAGATTTTTATTTACATGTCCTTTTAACCACCATTTTTCAAGTGGGTTATCCTTTGGATTAATTGAAGTAGATAATGAAATGGTATTTATCTCCTTAGAAACCCCAATATTTCCATTTTTGCCTCTAATTTTTACTTGTAACGTTAAAGACTTTGCAATAACGCTAAGAAATACATCCAAAATTCCTAACCTAAAAGTACTCCAATAACAATCGATTTTATTAATAATGTTATAATATATATACTGATCTATATCAAATTTTCCAGAATCGGGATCTTTATTTGTTGCAGTAATAATGTTAAAATCCTTTGCAGGCAACGTTTTTACTCCAACTATTTTAGCAAATGTTTCCGGGGAAATTTCAGCCATCATTCTGCTCAATAATGATGTGACCTTAAAAACACATTTTTAAAAATTATACTGGAAACAAATATAGTAACTTACTTGGCGTTGTACTCTTGCACTTCCAGCATGTAATAATGTTAAAAGGTTTTTTAAAAGACCATATTGATGGGATAAATATGCCCTACCAACAGAACTACCAGACAACGCCAATACCATGGATAACATTTCAAAGCAATAAGTATCCGAATTTGTAGTTATTTCATCGGCTGTAACAGTTGATGAATACAAATTTGATTCCCATTCTTCATATACTCTTTCAGTTTCTTTTCGAATTGCTTGAACTATATGGACAATAACCTAAGAAATAAAACCTGTAAGAAGCTGGGGAAATATTACTTAAATTATTTATTTTAAGTAATAACTTAGAGTATACTTATACATACATGTCGTTCCCTGATGTGTAAAGTATAAAAATATTTCTAATAAAAAAAGTACCATTTTTAATAAAATTGTGAGATTTGTTTTCCTATAGATTGATCGTTTTGAATGATGTTTTAATTTCTTTAAAATTTAACGTACAAAAATTTAATTTTATAATTGTAGGAATCATAATGTTCTAGCAAGGGTTCGACAGGAAGGAGTTGTTCGAAATCAACAATTTATGCCTCTTCAGAGATTATAAATTTCTATAGTAGCATAACCATCCTGGTAAGTACTTATGCAGGCTGGTATGAAAATTTCTCTAATCAAAACTTAGTGAGCATTAATCGAATAAGGTGGAATATTTATCGATCTATCCGGATTACATACGAGTAGACTGTTCAGAAAAATTAATATCGGAATTGAATTCTGTGAAGATTGGAATATCTGCTTTACAGCGAGCATTTATTGTACCAACACAAGATTGTAATTCGGTTTTATATACACAAATACAAAAGAGGGATAATATTTTTCTATTATTAATTTCATTGGTGAATTTTGAATTTCGTTGTAAAGTAATAGGCAGGGTTGTTAAAGGGCGTTTATTCGTTTCCTTCGGATTCTATATAAGACTTTTCTGGTATACAGTCGCAGGAAAATTTGGATTTTCTTGAGAGTTTTCTGGTTCTTCGTCATAGTGTTCTTGAATGATCGGGTCATAATATTGATAAGACGGTTGGTAAATTTCTCGAAATTGTTCTTCATGATAGTAATTTTCTTGGTAGTAATCTTCTTGAGTCGCGTTTTCCTCTACGTTGTGCCATATCCCATTTCTTAATCTTGTTAACTGGAATGTATGTTGAAACTTCGGCACAGGTCTGTGCGATGTTGTTGACATTGATATTAGTTTATGCGAAGGGTTTACATTCATAGATTTACAATTTTTTTTGTTCTGGATGTGGTGTAACGAACTGATTTTTAGACGGGGTTCTGAGACGCCCCGCATGGTTATTTTCTATTTTATTTAAATAATGTTTAATTCAGCACCGATATTTGCATCTAAATTAATCCTATAGCGCAAGCGCAAGCGCACTTAGGTTGTCTGGCAAGTTAGAATCTAAAGGCAGTCAACAGCCACTGGTCAACGATAGCAGTCCAGTCAGTTAGTAGCCCAATATCAGGAAGATCGCCGAGTGGTAAGATTTCCAGCTTGGGAAGACTTCAAACCGCCGCCGCCGCCATACGTAGTAGGAGTTTGGCAGTCGAGCTGAACTTGAAAGGGGAGTTCACCCGTCGCAACAAGCAATCCTGTTCAGCAGCTGTGCAGCCACCAAAGTAAACAAGTTCCGAGCCTATTTACTGCGTAAGTCTCCTGAGGTGACCGGAAACCTGACATAGGTGATTCGGGCTAGAGTTAGTTCTGTTCCATCGCTTCTGCAGAACAGACGCACCAAGGAGAGGAATGAGATTGCCGCTTAGCACCATAATTGCTTGTCACTAACCTAACCCTAGCTTTATAGTGATGGTGTAGGACTGTATATTATAGTATATAACCGTTATGTTAAATGTAAACATTTATCAAGTGTGAGTTTTATTCTTGTGTGAAGTCTTACTCTCTCTCTAAACTCCTCGATACACTGTGTCTTCACTATAGCTGCCTGAGTAGTGGTGTTTGTGCATTGTAAACAGAAACTGGCACCCGAGGTGACCACCGCCAATCAAGCGTTATAGTGACAGGCGCACTTCGCTGCCGACGAACGAACGAAGTGATAATGTCACAGTAGTTTTCCAAAAATTTTACTGTTTGTGTGAAATTTTTGTTGAGGCATTTGTCTTGGTTATACTCGTATGTTGTGATTGAATATTTTGTCTGGGAGCTTGAGATTCAAAATATTGATTTTTGAATTATTTTGGGATTTGAGAAAAAAATTGATTGTAATCGACAATCTCTCTTGGGATAATATTGTATTGCGGTGGTTTAATTTAGGGCCATGGTATCATTGGTTTTTGATAGTCCGATTTACTTGCGAAATTTGAAATTTTAAACGATTTATTATAATTTGAAAAATTTTCTTGAACTTTTGTATTTGCTGTTTCTAAGAATTCTGCCCTACTTCGGAAAAAGACCGAATGTGCAGTTTTATGACAAATTGAGATAATTACATTTTCGAAATCTACATGGCCCATCTGTAAATATCAAAAATATCGTTTTTGTTTCTTTAAATTTAAAAATTGGTACATTTTAAATTTCTAATATTGTGTGTCTTCGTCGCTATACTAGTAAAAAATATCGTATGTGTCTGATGCAGACTTAGGTGCATGTATTTCATTAGGAGGTACATACTCGTAGGTAGTATAAACGCCGCATGTGACCACATACGGCTTTCTTCTCTAGCAGAAGCGTTGAAATACTACGATGTTTTTAACAAATTAAATTCGTATGTGTTCACATGCGTTGTTTTAAATTAAACAACAATTAGACATTATTTGCAACATAATATATTACAAATTTTAAAAAATATCCTGTAAAAACATCCAAAATATCATGTATACGATGTACATGTTCTTCTCTTAATTTCTATTGAAAATGTAGCACATACTGCGCATACGGGGCATTTTTATCTAGCAAAATCTTAAATATATATGGTGATGTTTTTATTGAAATTGGAATGTTTTCTAACATTCTTGAAATACATTGTTTTTCATTTGCCGTTACCGAAAATATCAAGTTATTACCTTAATTAGTAAATTAATTACAGCCAAATGAAGTACCTATGCCTAATATCTCGTTGCAATTTTCTCTAAACTGTGATATGTGCACATATGGTCTTCTTGCGAAGTAGGGCAGAATTCTACTTATTGAACTTTAATCATAAGTAGTAACATGGGATAATATTCGGTTTTAGAAATTGTTATATTTAATAGGTCATGTTTTAAGCATCTTTTACGCTGATAGTACACTAAAACACAAATTATCTGTAAAAAACTAACCCCTACTTAAAGTTACACCCTGTATATATACAGGGTGTTCCTAACTAACTATCATGTACACTCGACGCACGATAAAGGTTTCCAATCTGAATCATATTTTATTTGAAATATGACTGCTTAACCGCTTGTATATATGGGGCGTTCCCATTAAACTCGTTGTGGCAATATTTTACCGTCACATCTGACATTATTTTTCGCATCTCCGTTCTTCTATGATTCATGTTGGTAGGTCTCACTTATACATGACGCGCGCACAGGTTTAAAGGAAAAAAGTGTTTCGTAACAGTCCGTTACTACTTATTGATAGCCAGCCAGTTCATTTATTTGTGCCGCACGTGCAGGTCCTATTTGTTTTGTGTATAATTGTGCTTTGTGTAGTGTATTTATGCAAAAGAAAAGAATGTCCATGAATCCGAGATAAATCATACGTAAGGGAAGTATTATATTAATTATCCATTTCAGATGAGAAGGTAATTCATTAAAATTTTTCTGTTAGCCGCCCTTGACTTGATAATACTAGCTCGTATACTATGGTACATGCAGAGCAGAGTTTTTAGACTAATTGAAATGCAAATTCCACCTTAAGTGGATTGTCTAGCTTTAGCTGGTCATATTGTAGTTGTTTTTAAATTATTTTGACAGTGAACATTTGTTTGCAGACTATACCAGTTTTAACCCTCTTAGTAGGGCGTGGCCGCTTTGTTTTTTTGCCCGCATTGCATATGACATGTAGAGAGTGGTTTTCCTCCACTTAAATGGAAAGTGTAGCTAGCCATATTGTAGTTGTTTTAACTACCTTGCCCGCAAACTTTTTTGTTTGCCAAATATTTGGGGCAGTACGGTCGTTTTGACCGTTTTAATAGGGCGTAGCCGCTTGGTTTTTTGCCCGCATTCCATGTGACATGTCGAGAGTGGTTTTCACTCCCTTGAATGGAAAGTCTAGCTAGTTATATCGTAGTTGTTTTAACTACTTTGCCCGCAAACTTTTTGTTTGCCAAATATTTGGGGCAGTATACGGTCGTTTTGACTGTAAAAAGGGCTTAGCAGTTTTTGGTGTTTTGACCACGGACAATTTGTTTGCAGAATATTTTGGGGCACTATGCGATTGCTTTAATTCGACTAAATAAGGTCTAGTCGTATTGACCTTTTGTCTGCATTTCATGAAACATGTAAAGTGTGGGTTTCACTCTTTTTACATGCAAAGTCTATCTATCTATCTCTAAGCATTTAGTAGTTATTTTAACCATGTCACCCATAACTTGTTTTAGACATTTGGGTGTAATTCTACTGCTACTTTTACCCTCTGCATACCATGGTATACACGCAAAGTGGATTTTTAAAGTTACGTCATATTAAACAGTGTAAAAGGCGAGTAATAAAATTAAGAGAGTATACCAAAAAACAAAGGGGGAGGGGCGAAAATTGTGAGCAGTATGAATAAGAAGAGCGATGTGAAGAAGAGTTTACTGGTAAAAGGAGCCTTTGATGTAGATAAAACAAAATTATTGAAAATAGAGTACATGAAATCTAAAAATGAGTGCATTGTTTTGTCACTCAGAGGTACTATTCTACAATGAAACTTAATGTGAATTATACAAGCAGTTTTTCTAATAACACCTTATATATTTAATTTGATTAAAATAATCTATATAGATGTAGCTACGTATGTGTATATAAACAAAAAAAAACATTCGATTACTAGGGATGGCACTATCATCAAACATGAGCATCAGAGTGACATGTTATTATAGAAAACTTAATTGAGCAACTCCTCTGTCTCATTATAAGTATATAAAAAAAAAGACCGATCAAGTTTTGTTTTTTTATACATACTGTTTCATTTATGACAGTGTATGAAAAAATAACAATTGAGGAGAGGACAAAATTAAGTGATAATAAGGGAACTTTCAATGAAGTATTAGGAAGCAATTACGTAACGAAACCTTAAATGAAGTATTAGGTTAGATGAAGAGTAACTTGATAGTATGAATAAAATGTTAATATTAACCAGTGTTACAACCTAAGAAGCGTACGAAAGTTATAAAAGTTAAAAAATATACACTGTAAGGAACATTTGACCTATTTTCACTCAATTTCACTCAATAATGTATCAATTTCTGTCCACTCGATTGAGTGAAATTTTCCTTTATTAGTATGAGTAAATACAACTAAAATTTTATGAGTAAAACTATCGGTTCAAATATTATCAAAAATGTGTAGAGTTGTCAAGGTGCCCAGTATTGACTGAAAATGTGTTCAATAATGTCACTCAATGGATTTCACTCAGATATATTTATTTACAGTGTATATCTAAGTACCTATATGTCTGTACATATAAATATATAATTTACCAAGTATGGAATTTTGTTGATTGTGGCCAAACAAATCAAAAAGTTTACATCTGTTAAGATAAACTACATGCCATTTGAAGGTATAATACACAAATTATATTAGTACAAGCAATATCGAAATAATACTATCTAAAAACTACATCAACGACAGACAAAATCAATAGGATGTTTAGGAAGTTTAAAATATAAGTTCAGACATTTAGGTGCTTCCTTTAGCTGAAAATTAATGTATAATCTAATTTGTCATGGACATATTAAACCAATTAGTAAAATGAATATAGCAACTGCATCTTACTTGGAAGTTGGAAGAGGTATTCAATTAATGGCCATATACCAAAGCCATTCAGAGACAAAGTTGTAAAAAACGGTTTCCTTTAAGAATGTAACATACTGTAACTTTATAGCTATGTTCTTTGGGCTATGAATCAAAGAAAAATTTGGTTTTCACAAATCAAAGCAATAATTAATATCACACTTATATAACAAGTATACATCAAATATCACGAAATGGAACTACATTTATATGTGTCTTATAGCTATTATGTCAGTGGACTAT